AGTTCCCATCAGACTGCCAGCTGATTTCTCAAAAGAGACCTTGCAGGCAATAAGGGGCTGGAAAGAAGTATTCCAAGTCATGAAAGGCAAGGACCTCCATCCAAGATTGCTCTATCCAGCAAAGTTTTCATTTAGAATGGAAGGGCAGATAAAGTGCTTCTCGGATAAGGTCAAGTTAAAGGAGTTCATCATCACCAAGCCTTTATTATATGAAATATTGAAGAAACTCATCTAAGAAAGAGAAGATCAAAAACATGTATAGTAAAATGACAGCAAACTCACAATTATTAACAACCACACCTAAAACAAAAACAAAAGCAAAGTAAGCAGACAACTAGAACAGGAACAGAATCACAGAAATTGAGATCACATGGAGGGTTAGCAACAGGGGAGAGGGAGGGGGAGAGAGAGGGAAAACGTACAGAAAATAAGTAGCATAGATGGTAGGTAGAAAATAGACAGGGGAGGGCAAGAACAGTATGGAAAATGTAGAAGCCCAGGAACTTATAAGTATGACACATAGACATGAACTAAAGCGGGGGGGGGGGTGTTGGTGGGAGAGGGTGTACAGGGTGGAGGGGAATAAAGGGGGGGAAATGGGACAACTTTAATAGCATAATCAATAAAATATATTTAAAAAATAAAACATCCAGCTACAAGGGCAAAGTTATTTTAAAAAAAAACCTATTTAAAAAAATAATGACAGAAAACTTCCCTAACCTGGTGAAACTAATAGACATACAAGTCTAAGATGCAGAGAGTCCTAAAGAAGATGAACCCAAGAGGTGCACACCAAGACACATCATAATTAAAATGCCAAAGGTCAAAGACAAAGAGAGGACCTTTTTTATTTTTAAAAGATTTTATTAAAAAAAGATTTGATTTATTTACTTTTAGAGAAAGGGAAGGGGAGGTAGAAAGAGTGGGACAGAAATATCAATGTAAGAGAGACATCAAATGGTTGCCTCTCACACACTCCCAACTGGAGACTTGGCCTGCTACCCAGGCATGTGCCCTAATTGGGAATCAAACCAGTGACCTTTCAGTTTGCGAGCCAGTGCTCCATCCACTGAACCACACCAGCCGGGGCCAAAGAGAAGATCTTAAAAGAAGCAAAAGAGAAGCTGTTAGTTACCTACAGGAGAGATTCCATTAAGACTGTCTGCTGATTTCTCAACAGAAACTTTGCAAAGAAGAGATTGGCAAGAAATATTCAAAGTGATGAAAAGCAAAGACCTAAAACCAAGATTACTTTACCCAGCAAAACTATCATTTAGAATTGAGGGATATATAAAGAGCTTCCCAGATAAGAAAAAGCTGAAGGAGTTTATCACCACCAAACCAATATTACATTTAATGTTAAAGGATCTTTTTTAAGAAGAAGAAAGGGATAAAAGAATATGAATAATATAATGGCAATAGATGCATATATCAACATTTGAATCTAAAAAATAAAAATAAATAAAAATAGCAGAATAGAAACAGACTTATAGATACAGAGAACATTTTGATGGTTGCTAGATGGGAGGGTGGTTAGGGGATGGGTGAAAAAGGTGAAGGGATTAAGAAGTACAAGTTGGTTGTTACAGAAAGGACAGAATGGGGAATATAGTTAATAATATTCTAATAACTATGTATGGTGTCAGACATGTATTAGACTTATCAAGATGATCACTTAGTTATATAATGTCTAATCACTGGGGTATATACCTGAAACTAATATAATATTGTATGTCAACTGTAATTGAAAAATTAAAAATGATTTAAATTAAAAAATAAGTTAGAAAAAGAAGAGCGAATTATACCCAAAGTAAAAAGTGTAAATGAAGTAATAAAGATAAATATGGAACTCAGTAAAACAGAAAACAGAAAAGCAATTAGAGAAAAATCAGTGAAATAAAAAATTGATTCTTTGAGAAGATCAATAAAAATGATAAACCTATAGACTAATAAGCAAGAGAGAAACTGATAAACATTTATACTGATAAGCAAAGAAAGAGACAGAAAGAGAGAAAAAAGACAGAAAAAATATCAGAAACGAGAGGTGACATTATTAAAGATTCTACAGATAGTGAAGGTAAGAGATTTTTGTGAACAACTTTAGACCAGTAAACTCAACAACTCAGATGAAATGGGCAAATTCCTTGAAAGACACAAATTGTGAAAGCTCACTGAAGAAGAAATAAGATAAACTGAATAGCCTTATGATTTTTTAAAATTAAATTTGTAGTTTAAAACCTTTCCATGAAATATACCCCAAGTCTCAATGGTTATAATGGTTTCCTCCCTACCCCACTGAAGCACTGGTGATTTCTACCAAACATGTCAAAGGAAATGCCAATTCCTCAACAAACTCTTACAGAAAATTGTAGAGAATATTCTACTTGAGTCTATAAAGCTAGCATTAATCTGATACCATCACAAGAAAAGTATACAGGCTAATATAGCTTATAAACATGGGCACAAAAATTGTTAACAAAATTTTAGCAAATTTATTAAAAGATGATAAAAATATGCTACATTATTAGTAAATGGGGTTTATCTAAAAAATTCAGGGTTGGTTTAGCATTCATAAATCCACATAATTTACTATGTTAACAGATTCAAAGAGAGAAAAACACATAAGTATTCCACTAGGTACAGTAGAAGCTTTTGATAAAACTTAGTATTAATAAGTCATGTGGGTATGATGTACAGCATGACAACTATAGTTCATAATACTATACTGCATATTTGACATTGCTAAGGGAGTAAATATTAAAATATCTCGAGGAAAATAATTTGTAACCATGTGCAGTGATGGAAGTTAACTAGATGTATTGTGGTGGTCGTATCACAATATATGCAATTATAGAACTTTAAAAATCCAACATCTATTCATGATCAAAAATAGGCAAACTAGGAAAAGAAGGGAATTTCCCCAACTTGATAAAGAGCATTATAAAATATATACAGCTCTTATTATACTTAATGGTGGAAGACTGAATGCTTTCTCTGAAAATCAAGAATAAAGTAAGGATGTCTCATCACTTCTATTCAAATTTATAAAGGAGGTCCTGGCCTACTCAGTATGTCAAGAATGAAGTTTAAGCCCTGGCTGGCGTAGCTCAGTGGATGGAGCGCGGGCTGGGAACCAAAGTGTCCCAGGTTCGATTCCCAGTCAGGGTACATGCCTGGGTTGCAGGCCATAACCCCCAGCAACCGCACATTGATGTTTCTCTCTCTTTCTCTCTATCTCCCTCCCTTCCCTCTCTAAAAATAAATAAATAAAATCTTTAAAAAAAATAACAACAACAAAAAAAGTGTATGGTAAATTAAAAAAAAAAGAATGAAGTTTAAATGTATACAGGGGAAAATAAAACTGCCTCTATTAGCATATGACAGGATTGTGTATGTAGAAAAACCTAAATAATATACAAAGAAAATCTATGAGGACTAACCACTGGGTTTCAGTATACAAAATTAATACACAAAGATCTATGTTTCTAAATATTAGTTGAGAACAATTAAGAATGGAAATTAGAAAATAATAGTATGAAAAATGAAATACTTAGGAATAAATCTCACAAAAGTTATGCAAGACATATAGACACTGAAAACTGCAAAGCACTTCTGAGAAAAATTAGACCTAAATAAATGGAGAAATATGCTGTGTTCAGAAGACACAGCTGTGTTGATAAAGATGAGGAGTGATTGAAAAATCTCATATATAGCTTGTGGGAATACAAAATCATAACCAGTTTTTAAAAGTTTGTAGTTTATTTTAAAAATTGAATATTTACATGCTACATTACCCAGCCATTTCAAACCTAGGTATTTATCAAAAAGAAATAAAAGCTTATTTATGTTCATAGATTATGAATATGCTCATATTCATGTGAAATGTTCATAGTGACTTTATTTGTAATAACCCCAAATCCAAAACAACCCAAGTACTCATCTTATGGACAAATAATCAGCAATAAAAAAATGAACTATTGATATTTATATATGCAATAATGTAGGTGAATGTCAAAATAATTATGCTAAGTGAAAGAAGACAGAAGAAAGTAGGTACTATATGATTCCACTTACATAAAATTGTTTTAAAATGCAAAATAATATATAGTAACAGTGTATTGGTGGTTGGCTGCGGATTGGGGTCAGGAGACAAGGAGGGATGTGTGGGAGGGATTGAAAAGGGGCATGAAGAAACTTTTGGGGGTGATGTGTAATTCATTATGTTGATTGTGATGGAGGTTTCACAGGTGTTTATGGATATCAAAGCTAATTAACTTGTAGATTCACAATTTATTGTATGTTAATTATACCTGGATGAAGTTATTAAAAGCAAACACTGTTACTGTTGCTAATTGTGCGGACCTGGAGCAGGAGTAAGTCTATGTGGAGAATGAGAAAGTATAACATTTAGCACTCCTTAAATATAAGAAAAGAACTTCCCCTGAATTAATTTCTATTAATATGACTGATTTTGTTGCATTGCCTGAGAGAATAGAATGCAGGATAGCCCTAATTGTTTGGGGTCTATTTGACATATTATTTAAGCTCTTCGTTCACTGTGTTTGGATTTCTCTTGGCCAATAAATCCTTCTTCCACCCAGTGTTCAGGAGAAATAAAAGGAGCTAGAATTCAAAGCAGTCTATTTCTTTTGCTAATAGCTAATTGATAAAAGCCTAGTTGAAAAAAAGGAAAACTATTGACTAAAATTAGGTATCAAAATTAGCTATAGATTTTCATTTGTCTTTGTATCTCAATTATTCAATAGCACATGTGATTTGTTTAAAAGCTTGATTAATTCTAACATGAAAGTGAAAGAGATTAATATAAAATTGGAATTTGTTTATCCACAGAGTCAGGTGAAATTGTCATTTGAAATCAAAGTTACCTCAAACATAGTCAAATATCATGCAAATAAAGTGAGTTAAAAAAATGTAGCTGGTAATGGAAAGTAAAAAAAAACAAACAGTTGCAACCTATAAAATTCTCGTGTACTACCTACCTGTCTGGCTCGATAGAGCTGCGCTTGCTGAATCTTAGAGATGATTTGCTGTACTGAGACAGGGATCTCAAGTCTAGGGACCTCTAATCTATCAAGGTCTTTTCTGGACAAGATGGTATAATCCACAACTTCATTTTCTGAATCAGATTCATTGTCTATCTCATTTTTCATTTTGAACATTATTTTGAAAAGTTGAGTGATTTTCTTTTATTTCTTCTTCTTTTCCCACAGAATATAGGCAAATGCTGATAAACCTGTCCACGAGGAAGCTAGAAGAGGTCGTTCCTGATCTCAGAGGTTGTGGTTTACCCTGCCACTAATCTTTTGCTAAGCATAGTATTTTGTTTCTGGTGATGTCATAAAGACCCGTTGTGACATTATCATTGACTCAGACATTTACAGAGTGCTTATTATATGCAGAGAACTAAACATTCTATATTCTGTGATGGTAGAAGGGTGAAGGGGGGAGGGTGGGTAAAAAAAGAATAGACAACAGGAACAATATAAGAAATAGAAGACATAGCCCTGCTTAAATGACTTAAAATCTAGCTGTTAGAATTGAAGATCCAGTCTATCAAATGTAACTCCTGGTTCTTCTCTATTCTTGAAATTTTGCTTAAGAATTTTTAAGCCTGTAATGGAATAATTGCGTTACAACTTCCTCAGCTGCCCCTCAACTTTTCCGGGCATGTAGTAATTTAGAAGATATTATTTGAATGATGCTCGCACTCTTTGCACCGCCTAGGTACCCGTTTTTCTCAAGGAACCTGACTGAACAAGATTTCGAAGTTCCATAGTTGGCTCCTGAAATTGAAGGGAATGCTAGAGTATACTTTTTAACTGAAAGAGCAGTATTTTGGGCAGCTCCTTTGATTGCAGAGGACGTGAAAGGATTTGGGAGGCTGGAGAAATTAAAGGAGCCAGTGGTTTTGTTGACTGTGTAGCTTTTTTATTTTTTAATTTAAAAAATGTGAAAAAGTACAGAAAGTGATTTGTCATATAGCTGTGTGCCTATCACCTAGAGTGAACAAATAATAATGTTTTGTCATATCTGCTTCAGATATTTATAAATAAAAGAGAGCATTAGAGATAAAGTTGAAGAACCCTTTGGTGTTCTCCCCAGACTCCTTTCTTCCCCTCTGTTCCTTGTTACAGGCAATGACTATCATGAATTTGATATATTTATGTCTGGTCTATGTTTATGTAGTTTTACTATAGGTGTATGTATTCATAAACTATATAATGTAATTTTGTAGGTTTAGATTTTATACAAGTTGGGGATGTATAACTTAATTTCTCTACAAAAACTTTCTATGTTGGGTTTTTAAACTTATTGTAAATGTAGTCCAATGTTGAGTCCTTGTTGTAAACTTATGAAGTTAAACAACTGATATGTTGTGGAGACAGAGGATCATAAATTGTTTTTTAAAGAATACCACTATACAGAGACTAAATTAGATATCTCTTTAACGTCCTGTTGTCTAAGTTACTTTCTCCTGTTTTCCCAAATCATTTTGTAAAGTTTTATTACTTATCTCATTGAAGAGTATTATTTGTCTCTACCAGTTGGTGAACTAAAAACCAGATGCTACACTTAGTGTTCTTTTTCTAACATTTGGTATATTCCTTCTCAGTTTCTCCAAAGAAATCATCTAAATTTGGGTATCTATTTTGTTTGAGGTTCCTTTCCTTATGTAAACTTTTCTAAGCCCCAGAATAATTTCTTGTATGTTTAGACTGTCCACCCTGCCCCTAATCATAAAATATTACTCTCTCATTTTCTGTGAACCACAATTAAGTGTATTTATTCAAGGAAGTTCATGTTTTCTGAAAGAATCACAATGAAAGAAAATTACTTTTTATACATGTGAGGTTTGATTAAAATATTAATCATTATCTAGCATTTCTTATCAATTAATTTAAATATTTGGTTCATAATATTACATTACTTTTATTTCTCTTGATTTCTTTACATTGCTTACTCTAATAGACATTCACAAAGCAGCCGACACGCTTGTCAACTAAACTAATTTAGCATAATGTGCTCTCTCTCATATTTTTTATGCAGTATGGAATTCATCAGCAACTGGAAATGAAGACTTTTTAAAGCAAATTTACAACTCTCTCCTTCCCTTTCAATTTGACAAGCACTTGTTGACATTACTATGTGACCACCATTATCCTAGACTGTGAAGAATATGATAGGGTATCTGTGAAGAAACCAAAAAACAAAATAAGAAAAAGAAAACAATTTAGGATAGAATACAATACTCAAGTGCTAACAAGGGACATGAAGAAGAGATCTGTGGGGAGCAGAGTCTTTAGAAGAATGTTATGGAGAGAGAAGGTTGATTGACAAATGAAGGCTTTCTATACATGGAAGACACTTTGAGCCATGGCTTTGGAGGTGAGTCCTGAGCTTGTATTTCAGGGGGAAAGTGAGGAGATTGGTTTAATTGAGACAAAGTAATGCTGAGTTTACTGGTGATCAGATTACGAAGATTATGAGACAAATATCAGTAATTTGGTGAGTGAATTAATTTGGTATCTAAGTGAAAAAGTGGATTCATTTGAGGCAAAGTAAGGGAAATTACATGGGATCACAATGGCCTTGAAAGCAAGTAACAGCAGTTTGGTTCAAATGAAACTTTCACTTTAGGAAGATTTTATCATTAATACAATGGGAAAAAATCCACTGGAAAAGATCAAGATATGACTATTTATAAAAATGAGTACCTGAACTAGGATATAGAAGTGGGACTGATAAGGGAGGGATAAATCCTACTAGGTATTTTTAAAAGATAATAAGGAATTTGGATCATCTAACAGAAAATTACAAATTTTTTTAATTTTGTTTTGGCTCCGCTGCCTGTGGAGTAGCAGCCTTCTGTCTCACTGATGACTAATACGCTCACTTTAATTTTAAACTCTATAAAGAATTTTTTAATTATATTCCATTTACATCAAGAGGTTATCCAGACCATTATAAAGTAGCAGCATATTAAGTGGAGATGTGGGTACCTGATTCCAGCTAACATAGGCAAAGTTCTTTAAAGGCGTCTCTAACAGAAACCTGCCTTCCTAGAGGGCCTCTTTAACTGTAAAATGCGGATAATAGTATTTATTGCATATGATGGTTTTAAGATGAATTCACGTAAAATACTAAGAATAGTCCCCAACACATAGTAAGCATGTAATAGAGCAGCTATTATTAATATATTTGCCATTAGTCTCCCTAAAAATTTCTTTCCTTTTTTTCTGAGCCACCACCTTTTCGACAGAGTTGCGCGTTCCTTCACAACACTTCGCGCGCGCACGCACACAGATAGCACACACACGGAAGAATGGAAAGAAAAAAACCCCAGAACACTTCGCTTAAGGTCGGCTTTTTATCAGATCTAGATTTTGAGCTATGAAAACTGCGAGATTGTGGCCGTGGAAGCTATCCGCTTGGCAATGGATGGAATGCAGTAAGATTTTCACACAACCCCACATCACAGAATATTGCCTTGTACGATCGCTTCCCTCCCCCCCCAGGACAGATGATAGTATATTCCATACTGCTGCTGGAAAATGTGGTGCAGAAATTGAGCACGCCAAGGGTTCTCTCTCTTCCCGGAAGCATTTGCTTTTTTGAACCGGAAACAGTTGTTGCTTTAAGGGAGGTGGGACTGGGCGGGTCAGGCCGCAGAGGCTGACGGCGGGGGAGGAGCCGGGTACACTGCCGGGTGGAGGGGACAGAAAGAGTGTCCTTATACTAGCGTTGGGGGCTCGGGCCTGTAAGCCAGTTGGAGTAGCAGCGGCGAGAACGATTGGGCCAACCGGGAGAAGATATGTTGCTCTTCGTGGAGGTGAGTGGGCTCGGAATCTCGTCCTGCACTGAAAGAACAGGAGTGTTGAGGCGCCGGCCGGTCCCGCCGCCATGTGACTTTCCAGGCCGTACACGCCGCTGCACCGGCAGATAGGCTGACACAGCACCTGGGCCGTGTAGGCCTGCGGCCTCACTTCTGCGCTTTCCTAGTTTAGGGAGCTGTGGGAGGTGAGAGCTGGAGTAGGGGAACGTTGACGGTAGGAAAGCGAGACTTCTCCGGTGTGGCGTGAGGATCAGAGGAAGGGGAAAGTGTCCCATATGGATCCCCTAAAGGAGGCAAGCAGGAGCAGGGCGGGGGATGGGGGCGCGAGTGCGGGGGGCGGAGTCTGCGGAGATCGGGGTAATCAGGTGGGTGCGTTCTGGGGGTTGAAGCGAGGTCTCGCGGGGCCCTCTGGGAGAGAGGGAAGCAACATGTGGGGCCGCGGAGGGAAGAAGGTGAAAATCGGCATGTGTGTTTGAGAAGAAAGTTGGAAGCCTGTTTTTAGCAACCCCGCCAAGTTTTGTTTGGTCCCGGTCGGTACGTCCCTGGAACGTTCTGTGGGTGGAAAAGTGAGTTACTATGAACGGAGGAGAAACCTTGAAAGGCACCTCTTTGACCTTTTGTAAAAGTTACTCAGGCAGCGGCTCAGGGGTGACGGCTTGGTTTTTTGAACGGATAAAAGCCCTTTGCAAGGAAAATTCCAAGAATGAGAGAAACCTAGTCCGGGGAAAGCCTACTTTAGTATTGTTACTTAACAGCGTAAATACTTCTATTACTTGTATTTGGAACGTGTGCTTTTGGTCTATTTTAATTTTAGGTAGTAGATAACTGCCTTACACATATACGAGGTTTAATTTCTCTTATTTCTGTCTTTCTCTTGGGTGCGGTGAGCGTCAGCTGACTGCCTGGCTAAAGCTCTGAGTAGATTCCAGATCATACTGTTCTTGCATTGTGAAAACGTCAGACCAGCAAAGCTGCCACTTCGCAACTTGGCACTTGTTAACTATGCCCATAAAAAGAATCTTTTCAATGAGGGAAGGAATTTACAGGTTGTATAATGGATAGGCCAGTCTGTGGCGAATCTTTTTTGGGGAAGAGAGTGATCTTACTCTGTAATATTTGCGTTAGGAAAATACATGCTCGCACTTTTTTATCTAATCAGTGTATCTGATAAATATGAGATCTTTAAATTGGGTTTTAAATTGACAGCGCTACTTTAGAGTATGTCCAAAACAGATAATAAACATTCATTGGAACATTACAAGTAAATCATGAAAAGCTTTAAAATTATTGAACCCATTGTGTTTACCGATTTTTATACTCGTTTTT